TTACGCCCAATGAGAGAATTGCGAAAAATGAAACTCAGTTACGAATAATTATAGAACAGCGTATATTTTCGGTTGCAAACACACCGGGCGGATCTTCCGTTGTGTCTTTCTCAGCTGCACGCGAATAAGCCTCTCTCGTGACGGCGTCCATGTAATTTTGCGTGCATGTAAAATCCAGGGAAAATACCTGGGAAAACGGCCCGGTAATTAAACTACTGTACCGTGTTTGCACAGAACGCACGCCACAAAGAATATACGACGGCCATAATGGTATCGTATAAGCTGCATGACGTGCGACTCTTTTCATCAGTCGATATATTTCCTCCGCAGTAGCGGCTATGCTGTGGGATATCTAAAAAAATACGATGCGTAATAACGAGAAATTATTGGATTTTATCACGCTAAAAAAATTATTTCATGAATATAATCTTTTTTCCCCAGTTACATTTTATTACACCTCAACATACAAATTTCTATAAAGTTGATTGTTGTACTTTATACATTCATTTCTTTCATTTATCTTTTATGATTATATTTTTATTCATTTATAAAATTGATGTAATGAAGATAGATCATAAAAAAATATTGAAGCCATTGTGGGAAATTTGATAACGTCGTTCTCTAAACAGTATCAAAATATTTTTCGAGATAAATTATTGGATTTAATGGCAGCATCATCTAGTTATTAAAACATTATTTTACTCTAAAATATTTGTAAATGAAAATCTATCGATACGTACTCTAATGATACATGTATATTGATAAATACATATACTCGTACATCTGTGTAAATCCTGAATTTACTCAGAATTTATTTCGAAATTGATTTTAAAGTAAACGTTGTAAATATGCAACCTTTGCCTGTAGAGGGTTAAAAATTTAAACGAATTTCGAATCAAATTGTCTTCGATTTGACAGTTTACCAATCATCTTAGAAACCCGATCGATATTCTTGAATAAATTGCAAATAGAACGAAGCATTCAAATACATCGATGAGAGAATGTAATCTGAATGCAACGCAGTTAATTCTACGTTGGCCTGTATAAGATCGTAACGTATCTTACGAACCGCTTTATCCGACAGAGATGATGTGTGTATCGGATTCGTAAATTGGCAGTAAGTGGTATGTGAACTGCACAGATTTGTTTTCCGAAATAGGTACACCGCAGCTTGTTGAAAAATATACGATTTATTATTACCGCAAAAGCAAATGCAGTAGCCACAAAAAGCGCTATATTTTCCGCGGAAATTCAACAAAGTTTTCCCTTGCGTGATTACACGAACATGCGGATCACTATTATTAAATATTTTGAAGAGGACGAAACAAGCTCCCTATGGCGTTGTCCCAAAGCATATCTTTTTCGTTCGCACATCGATTTTGTCACGCACGAATTTTGTAAACTTATTTGTAAAATCTATATAATATTATATCCAGAAAAAAAATATGTAAAATATATAAATATTATATTATAATTTTATAAATTATATTGAATATATTTAATATACAATATATTGTATTAGATATTATACGAAGAACATTATTCACAGATATTAATTTTTTTTGCAATTTTTTTCCCTTTGAATATTCCGCTCATAAAAGCATCCAGGCGTTGAAAATGAAATTGGCATCCAAGAAAGAAAATCTAGGTGCCTCTGCACGATTATCCAACCATCTATTTCAATATTACTGCCCGGCGTAGCATTCGCAAATAAAGCGGGCGAGAATGCCAGTGGAAGAGGTCTGAAATACGACCGTCTTTAGAGAACGGAAATATTCGGTGTACTCGCGACTGCGAGACTCTGTGAAATGGCTTTCTAGCGGCCACCAGCGTAAAAGCCAGCCAGCCCAGCTTTGGAGAACAACTGCAGCCGCCGCGAAAAAGCAAATGCAGCTGCAGTACGCAGCTCTCTCTACTCTGTGAGCATGTCATAGCTATTTCTTCTCTCTCTTCTTCTTCCTTTATCGCGTTTTCACATCTAGCAAAAATTTCCCTAACATAATCCGACTGGTTTAAACCGCTTATTAATATTGTGAGTAAACTATACCTAACCGCAAATAAAGCATTTAATTATATTAGTTTACAATAAACGAGTTTCTAAAATTATTTTAAACCAGACAAGGTCGTTTTTAGATTTTTTTGGATGTTGAAAATGATGCCGCAAGCCAAATTTCATCGGCACATTTTTAACATTTTTTTGTAAAAATATTTCACGTTATTATAAAATTTTATTTAAGTCGAAAATTATTTTAGAAAAATCTAAAATTTAGATTTTACATACCATGACTTCAAAGTAATACTAAAATAAAGAGAATATATTTTATTAAAAAAATGAACAATACATTTACGACTTTTAATCAGAATTTTAAGACAACATTAACTTTTTATATAAAAATATTGCAAAAAAGCGTTTCTGCTACATTAAATTTCAATTATTTCGGAAAATTAACTAACGTAAATGAAAATTAATATGTAATATCTTATTAATTATAATAATTTTATACCATAATTTTATACAATAATTTTATAATAATTAAGACGTAAAAATATTCCATTATTTATGTAAAAAAATCAGGCGAATACTTCTGGATTGATATATGTATATAAGCTATCACAATTTAACGAACAAAACGAATTTGTTACATTCGACGAATGGCTGACGAAGCGCGAATCCAAAGGAATTACAACGTGATGCGTTTAACCGAATCCCGCTTGACATTGTAGAGTAAGTAATTCGAGACATACAATGGCAGTATTCTCCGTACGTGGGTGTATTCTTATTGCTCAGAGGGATGATTCAGACGGGGGATAAACGCAGTGGAAGAACGCAGGAGACGGTTGTTGACACAGCCGACGAAACGAGACGCGAGATGTATTATCAAGCACCGAGATACGCGCTCGTGCCCTTTCCGTATACGCAGTTTCGTTCGAGCACGCACAAATGGGCTCTTACCCTCGGCAAAGTGCAAAGCGAATGCATATTGACTCGCGACGTTTCTGCAGACCGGATTTCGCATGAGGCGCTCACGGGTACGCTATAGAATTGAGCACCGCCTCGGAAACTGATTTCTCTTATTTGTCGCTGCATCATTAAGATGCATATATGCGTTAATTGTCGCAGTAAGGTTCCCTTGGGTGTTTAAGCAAATCTCAGGAAACGATAATCAATTTGAACAACTGTTAAGTGCAGATAGTCAATAAGTCTCCTATAATTTTGTTTGTGTGTAATTGTTGTATTTGGATTTCAGTGTTAGCTGAGAGATATTTAATCGTGAAGGAAAACAAAGTCGTTACATGATAATAATGTGATTGTAGTTGTTTTAATGCACATTCAATATCTAATTAAGTTCTTAACTCTTGGATGGGAATTTTTTAAAATAATTTTTTAAAGTAATTTTTAAAAGTTTACAGAGCTTACTTTTTTTCCACTAGCTATAAAATAAATTCTATTGCTTCACGTAAGTGAATTTTAGGGAAACTTTAAAATTTTTTTTTTTGACATTATTTAACTCAAAATAATCATAATTTCTTAGTATTTAAATTTTCAGAAAATGTATTAGGAAGTCATAGGAAGAATTAAGAAAGTGTAACCTTCTTAATACAAGATTATTGATTCAAGATTACTTGATTTCTGTTTGAGAAACGGAAAATGGTAGTGTGTAACTTGCTCGAAAACCTCTACGGATTCTTCGGTAAAGTGGAAAATGATTTATATGCATGTAAGGTTAACGTGGCGTAAAGAGAGTTCCGCGCTTGTTATGCAAGCTGAGCTACGTTAAAAGCGGGTTTTATTAAAAATACCCAAGCTAAAGATAGCAAAGGAGTTGGAGATTTTTCTTTTTTCCCTTTCCTTTCTCCGGTTGCTCTTTCATTTCTGTCCGGAAACGCGCTAATCCGAACCGGTGATGATGGTAAATGAAAGAAAAGCACTCGACGAGACTTTGAAATTAACACAAAGATATACAATCGACATAATACAGAGAGTACACAAAATAGAATACCTCATTTCATTTATATTAATATTGATTATTTTACATTCTTTATAATGTAAATATTATATATCATTTTTGTGCTACACACACACACATACATTAATTCGAAAATAAACTCTAATTCTGCGATAGTTAAATACAATTTTAATAATAATAGATACGTTAAAAATTAGAGAATAAAAAATTAATTAATATATTTTAAATTTTAAATTCAGTTAATTTTTAAATAAAATAAAAGCGAATGAAATAAAAACAAAAAAAAATTAACAGAAATGAAGATACATATTAAATTACTGCTTATAAGTAGTTCTTAAATTTTAAGCCGAGATTGTTTCAATTAGAATTAGTCAACCCGTACGTTTCATCCCTTCTTTTCTTATGCTTTTCATCCATTTATCCAAAAATTGTATCATACGTCCACTTTTTCTTCGCGTGCTCTGACATTGCTGCTATTATGAAACGTCTCAGTGCCGGCGGGGAAGTGAGCCGGCAAAAAACCACGCGACAGCTTCTCGCTCGGCTTGCCTGGGGTTTTTAATTTGTCGTGCAACAGCCTAGTGTGTACAGCATCAGCCTGTGAAACTCGAGTAGTTTTTCGCAGAACGTAGGTCGTGAAAGAAGCGGACATGCGCTGCAGAGATACGCGAAAGAAATCTCAATATGAGCACTATACCGCGCGTGCGTCGCGTACGGAAGAAAATCATCGCTTTCCTCGAGTGCTCGCTTAAAAGATTTTCTCAGTCTATTTTCCTCGTACGGTATTCATTTCCTCATGTGCGTAATTAAACATCACGTATATACAGCATTTATATATAGCGTTTTTGTATAATGAGTAATGCAACGTTGTTGGTAAAATTAAATAAATAAAATGCACGATTTGTATACGTGTGTTACCAAACGGATCTATTTCTAGATGCTTATGGAGATAGGAAACTTATATAACAAGTTGTAGGGGCGTTTCCTTGTGTGGTTTGGAAGTCTGATATTGTCGGACAGTCGAGCACTTACTTGTACGGAAGAAGCACCGCCGTGAAGTTGATGGCAATGGAGATTCGCGGGCCAGAAGTGATCAGGTACCGGCAGCGGATGTTTGGCGGATACAGCCCAGGATATCCGGGACTGGCTAAAACGCATCCGTCGTGGCAGTCCGTATCCTCGTACACCGAGTCGCATTCTGCAAACAAGAAGAAAGATACATCAGTAACTTGAGAAACTCTTGTTTGCTTTCTCTCTCTACCAATTCTGCGCACAGTATATGTATGGTATGTATGGTATACATATATCGTATACATATATCCTTATTTCTTCAATAATTCAAGAAAATACATGAAAGAGATTTCATCATGTTTACTTTATCGAAAACATTATTAAATAAAAACATCACAAAATAAATGCATTTTACAAAATTTTTATTATTAGTTAGAAACGTTTTAATATTAATTCGCTTATATTGTACATTAAAATATAAAGTATATATATAAATATTTTGCGTATGCTGCTGGTGAAAATTTTGCTGCAAGTTCATTAAGGCGCAGATAATCGCTACACGTTATCAATTAAAGCGACGGTCCACCTCAATTTCCAGCTGTCTGGCGGACAAGTTTCGTCAAGCGCGAACCATTTGTCAAAAGAGCGAAAATAATTGATACGTCTGGCGGCTTCGTAAAAAATTCGAAAAGTGGAAAATGGACGGACGCGTCAACGACAACACGCGCAGGCCAATTAGAACGAGTTAACGAGATATCTCGTATCCGGCTCGCATGATTTTCAATTAATATTTTCAAGACTCAACTTAAAATATTGCCAACTATACTGAAATATTGTCCATATGTTATAGATTATTATTCAATATATAACAATATCAAAAATAATACTAATTTAGTTACGGTCGACGAGTTTGCAGTATGTAAATAACTTGTATTTCCATTTCGGTAATAATTACTACACGTGCGACATAATATAAATTAAATTAATGCTTTACAAATGCAATAACGCTAAGTAAAAGAAGAATTGACCATAATTTAAACTATAAATTTAATAATCAAACACATGAGTTTAATCAATTTACTTTTAGAGGTACTTTTAATAGATCAAATATATCTCACATAAACATTATAATAATAAATTAAACGCAATCTCGATATTTAATATTGACGATTTGTACAATTCATCTCATAAGTTGTGATATCCATCATTAATCAATATTCGCATTATGCGAAAGTATTGAAGTTCAAAGCTTTTCGAATAGGTAAATCAATGCGTCCATAGGATTATTGTAATATTCAAACGGTGATTGACAAACCGTTACGCGTCCAATTATTCCACTTTCATAACGTATGCAAACACGTGATTTCCATAAACGCGTAATAGACTCGTATTCATTACTGCCAGCTGCACGTGAATACGAAAAAGACATTAATATCACTTTAATATCACAGCGACACATGAGGTTAGTTTAATGGTACAATTTTTTAAATATTTTTACCGTTAAACAAGACCACAAAGGGTTTTGACGTGTTGTTGCGTACAACGATTTCTATTTGCATCTCTGCACCATCTGCGTATATTAAAGTATAGTTTCGTCGCGTCATTTCTCTTTCCACGAAAAAAGAGAAGAAACGACGCGCGGCTTGACGACCGACCTCTTCTTTGCTTAGCTTTATAGTTCCGGCGTATGCAATTGTCATAATGGGCGGATCCATTAGACATGGTATGTACGCGTCCACCCTCGGGCACACGGTTTTTTTCAATTTATATAATGCCCTTTGCATCTCCATCGCTTCGATCCTCCTGTGCAAACCATTTCTACCGTAAATGGTTCGGCTTTTTTCGCTTTTTTACCTTAAAACATGGAATTTCCTTCGTCCTTCATTCTTCTGTATCCTCGAGGAGTTCCTCGTCTGAGATATACCTTTTTTGCAGTATCGACTAAACCGGCTGTCGACGAAAAAGCGTAACGACGCTGCACAAGTCGCTAATTATTTGTTAACAAGCGTGGGAAGTTAGTATCAATTTCTTAAGTACGGTATGATCAATCGGATGATAATTGAACGATATAGTTAATGGGCATCAATTGTTTGGCTTTTAAAAAACTCTCGAGCTCGTTAATTGTATGTATAATTGAAAGAGTATCGAGTTTTATTAACCAAGCGTTAGTTTGCTGGGAAAGTTGCCTCGTTAGCGCGGACACGGCTCAAACAGATACACCGGTAACCGCGCTAATGACATCAAAGGAAAAGTTTCACGACATTCACTCTACTACATGATATAAATATAACTACGATAACCCGCAGGTATTATTCGTAGACCTCATCTTTCTCGTTTAACAGAAAATATTAACAAAAGAAGATGTTTTACACAATTTAACGGACGGAACAAGTAAAGTTTAATGAAAAGTTAACTTGAAAAATAGCACTATTCATCCAATAAACATTAATTAATAGTAATATAACTGTTAATTATAATTTCCCACTCAATAATATAATTGTGACACAGCGTTATATTGTTAGTTATAATTTCCCATTCTACATTAACTGTTACATATCACATGTTGTATTACAATTATATTCTTGAATGGGAAATTGTAACTAATAGCGAATTCGATTGAATGTACTCAGTGTATACTGGTGCATATTAAAACCGTCGTGCACAAATTGATGTAAAAATGTATGTTTAATGTAAATATAAAATAAAAACAGATTAAACCATGAAATTCTCAACACATTTTACTGTGTTATTAAGACTACTGACTAGTTGCTATGGTCATATTAAATCGTGATGTCATAAGCGAAAACGTTGAAGTTTGTTACATGCTATTTGTAAATAAAGAGAATTTGGGTAATACACAAAATAATGAAATCGCTTTAAAATATTATTACTTGTAAAAAAAAAATAGAAAGGAAATTAACTTTTACCTCCCCTGGTAATCAGTAAATAGTCATAAAGGCACATAAAGTGAAAATAGGCTATGTATGCGCATTAAGCAAACACTGGTAAACAAGGCTTTACATGCCTTTTTGACTATTTACTGACTGTCAGGAGAAAAAGGGGGAAAGCTTTTCCATTTTAACAAGTGTAAAGTAGAAGTGTTTTAAAGCAATCTCATTAGGTTTGCTCTCTATTCCTGTATACTTTCACTGAACTCAAACGAACGTATTTTTTTTTTGCTTCAACTTATATTGCACCTTGTGCATCAATTTAGAGAATAAAGAACAAATGTATTATTTTGTTTTTCACAAATTTTCTTTATTTAAAATTAAAAATTAAAATAATATTCTCTTTATTTCGAAATAACATGTAAGAAACTTCAATATAATTTCTCGCTTATGACGTCACAATCCAATATGGCTGCAGCGATTAGCTTTAAGTAAAGAGTTTGTATTTTATAATTCAAAATATTTGCATTTTACTTTTATATGCAGATCAAAACAGTGTACAACGGCTTTAATATGCGCTAGTGCGCACTAGTGTATCCAACTAAATTTGCTGTAATATAGTATCCCTGCAGAATACAAAGTCTGGATATTTGAACCAAAGCCCCTTAAAATAGCGAATAAATGTGCATGCGTTACACTTTGATTGGTATCATATAATTTTAAAGGATCTAAAAATATGTGCCCCAATCAAAAGATGTCTACGAGTGATCCAGAATCTATAGTTCAGAGATAGCTAACAATTATGTTACTATTAGTTGGTGTTTACTGAGTGAGTAGTTATTTTGCAACAAGATTTTGAATCGCTAAAAAATGTAAGAAAAACATAACTATATATTTTTGCACGATTACACGTCAATGTAAATGTCGTCTGTTGATTTTTCGTAAAGCAGATGCAATTGCCGTGCATCTGCTGAGGAACTCACTTCCCGCTTTAAGTGCGCAAAGGTGAAATGCTTTAACACGGTGACAGAAAGGAGGAGAGAAAGTGAAGATTCTATGTAAATGCCAACAGAAGACGCGCGAAGACTTTCCTTCGCGACGCGTTGGTAACGAACCCAAGGCGGAAAAGAAAAGGAAGAAGGAGAGGATGTGCCCTCCTCCCGCACAGTAATACGCGAGTTTTCGCGAGTCGACGACATTTTTCCACAGGGGACTTTCCTCTTTTCCCCCTTTGCTCTATTCATTCGCTAGAGAAACTTGCGGCACGATGGAACGGTGGGCTTTCGCCTCGCAACCTGAAACATCGCTACATTGCGTTTCAGGCGGAAAAGCTACGAAAATTGCGTAGGCGTTAAAGGAAATAAAAAAGAGAAAACGAAGCGAACTTGCAATAAGTGTAATTAACTTTTTAACACCGGTCTTCAGACAAACGTGAGTTCTTCTTTTCTTCATATGCCTATGTAGATTTTAACTTTTTATAATTCTCGATTTTATAATATTCTGTCTAAAGTTTAATTATGTAAAAGTTAACATATGTATTTCGATGAACTTTCACCTAATTAACTGTCGCTATATATCATAATACAGTGCGAGCAGTTTTTACCGCGCGGCAGTCGTTGACCGTTTAATGATACGTTTTGGTTTTTAAATGGACAGTAACGTAGAAGATTATGGGGAAGCATGCTGTGTAATAGTGCGTGAATATACCACGTTATTTCAATGTAAATGTTTACCGACATATTTTACTTGCCGAATGGATGTTTACGAATTGGAAAATTAAAAGGTGCTTGTCTATATGTGTATATATACATTATTGAAATAATACGTACATAAAGCACATATTGCTAACCCAATTATAAGTTCACGAAAAGCATATTTGTGAAATATATGAAAAACGTTATAGTAAACTTATCAAAATATATTTCAATTAAATAGAGTTATTTATTTAAACACACGTTTCTCTTTATTTCTCATTCTCTTTATTTTTCCGTCCGTATTAATTTTTTTAATAAACGTAAAAATTTTTTAGTATTGTTAACAATTAGGAACTTCAATAGCTCTTTTAATACAAAAAACAGACAAAATCTACTGGATTTCCAGTAGTAGATGTACGTAAAGAAATCAACCGAGATTTGCGCCGGAATTTCAGTGGAATAATCTATCTTAACTGCGCCGGCTAAGAGCACTTCTCCGTAAGTGCAGTTCACGTGACCGTGCAATTGTACAAAGAGAAAAGGGTGAAGTACAGGCTTGTAAATTTACCGGATTTCTTACTGATCACTTCAACAATTAAATAATA